GACTTTCGACATCACAATATTTAATTTTTCGATGATTTTTGTTGAATTACTGTCATTTATTTATTTTTGTTAACCATTTTTTGTGACTATTTAAAACTATTCTGATTCCTTTACTTCATAGTAATAACAAAAACAATTTTTTCAGATAATTTTAATTAGTTGTCTCATAGCTGCTGTCAGCGCTGGCAGTGTCCAACTGCAGACCTCTGCACCAGCTGTAGGCCCTTCTCCGCAGATCCAAATCACCGCTACACCTACCATTCAATATTCTACTCAGCTCCCTCATCAAGGAGCTGTGATTATTCAACAAGCACCATCGTTACTGCAAAATGCCGCTCTAATTCTTTCACAAGCTGCTCCAATTTTACAAGCACCACATTTGATCCATCAAGCACCACAATTGGTTCAGCAAGCAGCGCCATACATTCAACAAGCTGCGCCATACATCCAACAACCTGCGCCATACATCCAGCAAGCTGCACCAATATTTCATCAGGCAGCGCCAGTTCTTCAACAACACAATCCATTTCTGCAATATGCAGTACGAATAGCTGTTCCAACGGCTCAGTATGCTCAAAACCCCGCACCTCCACAGCCTGCAATTCAATATGCACCGCAGGAAGTGCAAATATCTGAAAAACAAAATCAACAAGAATCGCCTGTACCTCTTCTTCAATATTCTACTACACCACAAGCGCCAACTCCATTTCAAATATCTCGTAATTCTATACAGATTGTAGCTAAAGGAGTTCCACAATTTACACCTTCATTTCAATATGCCGAACAAGACAATGCTGCCCCTGCTGAATATTCAGATAATGTTGACCAATACAATGAAGTTCCTCAAGAAACGTTAGCACCTATAGTTGCAGCTCCAGAAGCTCCAGCTCCTGTAAACTATGCCCCAGTTGTTAAAGCAGCTAAAGTGACTAAGGTTAAAAAACCCGATCATTTCGACCACAATCCTGAGTATAGCTATGGATATGACATTGAGGACGGACAAACAGGAGATAGTAAGAGACAGAGTGAGCAAAGGCAAGGAGATGTGGTTCAAGGTAGTTATTCTGTAGTGGATCCAGATGGTCACAGAAGAACAGTAGACTACACTGCGGATCCAATTCATGGGTTTAGCGCAGTTGTTCGAAGGGAACCGGTTAATATTAAAAATTCGAGACCTGTGAGACGAAGTAGAAAGTATAAAACAAGAGAATGAAACAAAAGTTACCAAAGTTTGTATGAATACATTGTGATATAAAAAAATGGTGATTTTTTAAGGTAGACCATATTATATATCGAATTGGTACAAAGGTGTAATAGATATTCATGGTGGCCTAAAAATATTTTGAAACTTAAAGCGTATATAGGTTATAGGTCTAGTCAATAAACAAATTTATACAACAATGTACATTATGTAGGTGTATTTTAAAATTTCTTATTTTTAAATGTAAATTATTTTGTATCAAAGTAAATTATAATAAAGTAATAAAATAATAATTATATACACATTTAATATTCATAAATTCAATACACATTCACAATTTATAATAAATCTTTTAAAGATGTAACAAATTTAAAAGTTCGTACTAAGTTTTACGAAATATTCTGCAAATGTACTTTAAAATAATTATTTGGAAATTTGAAAAATAAATGAGCTAAAACCAAAAAACAAAAATGAATACAAAATTATTTTATTTAAAAAAAGGTATATCTAAATAATCTTGGATAATCTAAATGATACAGGGATATAAATTATTTCTTTTTTTTTATTTATTTTTTTTTCATTTATTTTGCTTCAACCACTTAGGGTTATTAGCATAAGAAAAATACAAAAAATGATAAAGACATACATAGGCATATTCAAAATATTAATTACATAATAATGAATACAATATAATATATTTTAATTATTGCTGAATTGTATTAAATTTTTTTAAAAATGTATAGTTAAGAAGCTATTTTCTTGTGGCATTTTAGTAATAGGTAGGTATTTATTATTTTAATGAGAACTGACAACAATTTGTCGTTCTCAAAATATAAATTAAAAAAATTATTTTGTTTTGATACTTGGTGATAAAAGAAACTCTTAATAATTTAATTTCTTGCCTCATTCATATTGACAATTCAGACATATTAGCTAGGCAAAAACTAAGAAAACATCTAAGACTCAACTAAAGAAGCTATCGGTAAAAGAAGGGTAAAAAACAAGCCCCCCAAAGCTAAAAACTTCTTGGTTCTGTACATAGGTAGGTAAAGGAAAATGCAGGGGCAAGAAACGAGCTTGCATGTGCATGCAAAACTAAAGGCAACAAGTGTACGAAAATTGAAAAAGAATAAGAAATAATACAGATACATTTGTAAGAAGTATTAAAAACGATTACTGGAAACGCTTATCAAAAGAAATAAAGCATGATTTTTATAGTTTACAAAAAGAAATATTTTTTGGAGGTGAAGGAAATAATAGATCCGAAACACATCGAAATGGATGCGTGGATTGACTATCTATGCTAAAGAAGTAATGTATAGAGAGAAAGAATAAATGACGTTGGAACCATGCGGCAATGGCGGATCAAACTGACAATATTAATTGACAAGGCATAATAAAATTCTAGAAGAATCGAAAACAAGTGAGCTAATCCTATTATTCAAAAAGGGAGATAAGGAATAACTAAAAAACTGCAGGAGTATCAATACTAAGAGCTAAAATTTTGCAATAACGAATAAATTTGCGTACGAGAAGATCATGTACAGGTGCGATATTCGTTATAAAATAGATTACAGAGAAAGCATTGGAATACAATTGACCCGTATTGCTATGTTTCATTAACTGAAGATGGCATTTGACTTAAAGATGTAATACATTTCTTGTGTAATAACAAGATCCCGCTGGGCATCAAAATAATAAGATGAAAAAATAGACAGCATATATATATAATATATATATATATATATATATTATATATATATATATATTATATATATATATATTTATATATATATATATATATATATATATATATTACACTTGAAATTTCCGCGGGAGTTATATGCGCTTTCTGTAGTTTTCCGGGTTTGACACCGCCTTGAATAATTTTGGTTTTGATAAAAACCATTATTTTGAAGACGTTTCGACAAGATCGCACCTGCCATTGTCAAATCAGGTAGTAGCACTTCTTGCTGATGCTTGAAGTTAACTGACTCTTCTATAGCTGCAAGGCTTTTTGTGATTGGTCCGGTCCGTGTGTAGATAGGCGGGGTCCTACTAGTCGGTCTTGTGGTTTGATGTATTTTTGGCTTTTTTTTAATACCTTTTTCCATGATGTTGGAAGCCTTTGAGCATCATCTCTTTGGTTTGGACTATTTTGATTTTTTTCTATTTCTATTGATTGATTTCGCGTTTTTTTTTAATTTTAATATTAGCTAGCATCGTTATTTGGTTTAGGTTTATTGTATGTCCTTTGTTTGAGACATGTTGGGCAAGGGACGACGTTTTTTCTTTCCTGTAGATGGCATTTTGATGTTCTTCTCGTCTAACATTGATTCTTCGGTTGGTCTGTCCGATTTACGATTTTTTACAGTCCCCACATGTAATTTCGTATACTCCTTGATTTTCTAACGATATTTTTGTATTTTTCAAAAATCGAAATTTCAAAAACGGTATTTTGTTCAATACAACAAAATAGAAGTACAACTAAGTAAAACACAATTTGGTTTCAGAAACAACATTGGAACCAGAGAAGAGCTCTTCAGTTTGCAGGACATGGTTCAAAGTTGTAGGAATATCGAACAATCGGTATAGATGTGTTTTATCGACTTCGAAAAGACCGTTGACCGAGTAAACCATAACAAACTTATAGGTGTCTTGTAACAGGTTGGAATGTGCACACATAACAATTGGATACAACACGACGGAAACAGTGGGAATACGACGTGGAGTGAGGCAAGGATGTATTCTATCGCCTCTACTTTTAATATCAACTCCGAATTTATTTTCAAAGAAGCCTTAGTTGAAGATACAGACATTAAAATCAACGGAATTAATGTTAACAGTCTCAGATATGCAGACTACACGGTACTTATTGCCTCCAGTGAGGAAGACCTGCAACGACTTATAAACAGGGTAACCGAAGCATGCGATGAATATGGGCTGAAACCTAATACTTCTAAGACAAAACTTATGGTTATCAGCAAAACGGAGTTACAACCAACGAACATCAGAGCGTATGGAATAGAGTTAGAAAGAGTCCACAATATTACCTATTTGGGTGCAAACGTTAACGATAACTGGGATATAAATAAAGAAAGAAGAATATGCATTGAAAAAGCCAGAGTTGCCTTCTATATATTAAAGAAAATTCTTATTAATAGAGATATTACGTTAAACCTTAAAATCAGATTAATACACTGCTACATATTCTCCACATTATATGGTATAGAGAGCTGGACCCTTGCAGAGACATTAATGAAAAATTGGAGCCTTTGAGATGTGGATTTATCGACGAGTATTGTGGATAAGTTGGGTTGACCGAATAAAAACGATAAGAATTTGAAAGTTACAATATTTAGGTCATGTAATCATACATCCAGAGAGTTATAAACTTTTACACCTCATAATACAGGGTAAGATCGCCGGAAGGAGAGGTCCAGGCCGAAGAAGAACATCCTGGCTCCGAAATCTCCGAGAATGGTATCAAGAGACCACCGCTAATTTATTTAGAGCCGCCGTAAAGCTATTATTGTCAATATGATCGCTAATGTTCGATAATAGTACAGGGTACTGCAAGAAGAAAGGAGAGTGTCTAAATATCTGTTTAATTTACTGCAAAATTGTAAATTATTTGGAAAGAGATCGCCCAAAAATGAATAAATAGGTACAATGTTTATGTAGGATTAATGCAAACTTGCAGCATTTCGTAATCCATATTTTTCTATGTAATACCCAACCTCAACTGGTTTATGCCTTCACGTAACTGAAGTAGCTGCTACTAACTTCAGAATCAATACGACAGCAACTGCTGCCCGACGTCAACTAAAACTGCCATCTGCAGCCATTGTCGGAATCGTTGCCAAGCTGTAAATCTGTTTTAAAACTTTAACATTATTTGAATTTATTAACAAATTTGTAATAGTTAACACATTTAATATCATTTAAAGGCTTTTTTACACACATATTTAGCACGTTAACTCATACATACCTGGTAATTGCACTGATAATGAACTTATAAGTACGAAAACGTTGTGTGATGTAGCCCGAAATGTCTTTTTTTAGAATATATACCTTTTATAAAAAAATGTTTTAAATAATTTTTAAAAGGTTAAATCGTTATAAATTAATAGCTAAGGCAATATCACTAAAGTTCACTGGCTGAAAACTAAAACACGGGATATTGTTCTGTGGTATACACAAGAGTTATCCAAATTATAATTATATATAAAATTAAATTTGCAATTCAGCAAAACTTGGTTCAAATTGAAGAGATCATCCTCTGATGTTGGTATATAACAAACTGGTTGCACAATTTGTTGATCAGTAAGTTGTCTGATAGGAAATACCTCTGTGATGAGGGTAAAAAATATAATAGTTATAATTGTTTAAGGACTGTTTCGTTGGACGATGGGATATATAACAACAGGCAGGATAGATTGAAGGCAGAATATGATCTCTAATAATTAAATCTGTAACTTTGATTACAGTTTGCGATTCCTCCAATGTGTTTAATAATATTTTAAGTAAGACACTTAAGAATAGTCTATAATAGATTATGGTTTGCGAGGATAATACGGCCGATAAACTTTTATGTAGATATTAAAACGTTATTAATTATCTTTAATATATTTTAAAGCATTTTTGTAGAAAGTCTGATCAAATGATTAGTTAATATTGTCTTAAATGTTTTGATCATAATATTTTCTGTTTTTTTTTATATATATAAACCTTTACAAAAATTAACGATCCTACCTGATTAGCATAATAGTTGCAGGCCATTGCCACCAATTGATGCAAATTCGTCACTATACTTTCACTTTCACTTGCATTATTATATTATTATTGGATTTATTGATTGTTCAAACAGAGTTTATTTGTACTCGATCTCGAAGTCGTGTAAATTTCTTCGTCTCCAAGGTAAATATTTCATTTCCTAGACAACGACCAGTGGGAGGAAAAAAGGATGGGATTTCGTTGGATTTG